TTTTTGAGGGCTCTAGCTAAATTTGGGGGGAGGGGCTTGTCCAAGGCCATGAGTTGTACAATTTCAAGTAGAAACATTTACATTTTACTTTTTATGGAAAAGCCATCCCTTGAAACACAGGTACCGTTTAGGTGAATAAACACAGGTACTACTACGTGAATGGTGCCTCCTGAAGTTGTACCCCTGGGAGGTCAAAGGGAGATGACTTTCTCTCTCTACTTTGGGGGGAGGGGGGAAGCTATCACCTATCCCCAGCTGGGCTTTTTTCTGCTACCAGCCCAATGCCCCAAAGGAGACACACTGCTAGTTTACTACTCTGGTCTCAGCTCTCTTGGACTTTTCAGCCCTGAGGACTTTCTGTTCTTTCCCACAAGACCTGCTATGCATTTAAAAGGCTAATATAATTTATTCAGCATTTAGGTGTTTTGGCAAGACTGATTTTCAAAACATTTTGTCCACCCCATTGCTAGAAGCATAACCTCCTCCTCATTTGATCCTTTGTGCCTGTCCAAATCCTTCCTAGTCTTCAACATCGAGCTGGAAAACCACTTTCCACCCACAACACCTTCCCTAATCCCTCTGCACCTGGAAATAAGCACCCGGGGCCTCAGAGAACACGGAGCCTTTGCACGTCTCTTACAGTGCACTGTCCTCCACAGGAGGAAAAGGTAGGAGGGCGTTTTAAGTGGGTAAAATCCTGAATGGGGACTCCACTTCTCCACCGCAGCACAGCAGAGGGCTTTGCTCAATAAATATTTTATGAATGAACAAACAGCCCAAACTAAATCCTCTTAAACCCCAAAAAGGTTCATAATTTTTCTGTTTCAGTAAACAGTATTATCATTTTCCCAGATTATCTAGATTCCAAGGCCTCAAAGTAACCTCACATGCTGTCGCTGAGTGATGGCAATTCTACCTCGTCATTTGCAGCCATTCCTCCTCCCAGTTCTCAAGTCAGAGTTTCAACTCTCTCCGCGGAACTAATTTTTTCCTTCCCCTCCATCCATTCTACATGCACTGTCAAATTAACATTCCTGTAACATTCTTCTGTTCAAAAACTTGTTTTTATAAAATTGGACAAACCTGGACAAGCTTCCTTAACTTCCCTGAACCAGTTTTTCCTTTGAAAAATGGCATAATATTATTGGCAAAGGCTGCATTGTCCAACACAGTAATCAGAAGCCACAGGTGGTTATTTAAAATTTCAATTGACTAAAAGAAAGTAAAATTTTAAATTTTAGTTCTTTAGTCACGTTAATGACATTTCAAGTACTCAAAAGCCACCCGTGTCTAGTGACTACTGTATAGGACAGTGAAAACAGTACATTTTCATTCTTGTGGAAAAGTTCTATTGGACTGTGCTAGAAGGTTATTACTGGGAGTGCACTGACATAGCACAAGTAAAGAACTTAACACACTGATGACATAGACAGCAGCTTTTAGAATTAACTGTTAAATGTTCTAATACTCGATTCATAGAGGTTTATTGAAGAATTAAATGAGGTAATATACGTAATAGGTGATATGGATAATATACTGTCATAGGGGTCAATAAAAGTTTGTTCCTCTTTTAGAATGTAAAAGGTGAATTACCTGTTTTAGTATCAGTCTTCAAATCTGCTCAAACCTGCGCCTTTTGAAGATCCTGAAAACCACATACAAAGAAAATCAGAGATTGTTCAACCCACATGCTTTTAAATACATACAATTTCAAGTCAACACACCAATATTGTTCATGGGCAGAACACTATGTTATAGGATTATTATTAATAGCTTATTTTCCCTATCGAGTTGATACTTGTGTGTTTCATAATGATGTTGTACCATCTAGAAACAAGTCTAGGATATCAATTCTCTGATCCTTTTTTATATTACCTTTCACTGACCTCAGAAAGGATAAAAGAAAATACAAAAACAACAAGTTTCCCCTATAGGATAAACAAAAATGCAAAAAATAATAATGGCCTATTAAGCAAGATAAAGCACTATTTTTTGATGCAATGGAAAGAATGCAGCTGTGTTCTCAGATTTATCTATGTGCAAATCTTAGCTTTATCATGTTCCAGCTGTATAATTTCAGGCAAATTACTTAGCTTCTCTGAGTTCCAGTATTCTGACTTGTAAAGGAGCAATCTAAAAGAGTTTTTCCTTAGAGTTGAACCCAGTAAACATAAATATAATGACAGCTGACATCAATTTTTGTACAGCCATAACTAGCCACAAGGATGGGAAATGACAACACTTAATTCTCTGTATAAATGAGTCACCTTGGATTAGTCTCTCCTTAGGTTTTGAGAGTTCTAGCTGTTTCCACTGACAATTTAGAGAAGCAGGGCGTGAAACGGTTGCCCAGTTTGCTGACAACTGAGAAATTTCTGCGCACCAATTAGGGAGGAAGATGAGTATTGCTCTTGGATTTTCACACTGGAAAACTGGAAGCATGACTGCCAACCAAGCAAAGTAAGAATTTTAATGATTAAGAATTTAAGAAACCTGCTCAGCTGGTGTGGCTCAGTGGTTGAGTGTCCATCTATGAATCAGGAGGTCACGGTTCGATTCACGGTCAGGGCACATGACCGGGTTGCAGGCTCAGTCCCCAGTGTGGGGTGTGCAGGAGGCAGCCAATCAATGATTCTCTCTCATCATTGGTGTTTCCATCTCTCTCTGAAATCAATAAAAATATATTTAAAAAATAATAATTTAAGAAACCTTTTAAAATCCTCCAAAATATGCAGGAATAACCTTCACATGGCACGATGAGTTTAAGAAAATGTTCTTGCATCTCTCACCTATGTTCTCCGCTTTCTTTGACGATCCATGAATCAGAACTGCAGCTACAATTTTCAAATTTCATAAATATTGAAATGCCACTGGTAATAAGATGAATTCCTTATGCTGTCTCCTTTAAGTGGTGACTGAGAAACGATAAAAAAATTCTATTTTTTTTTATAAATCTTTTTTTTTAATCCTCCCCAAGGATATTTTTCCATTGATTTTAGAAAGAGTAGGAGAGAGAGAAAAAGACAGTAATAGCGACGTGAGAGAAACACATCGATTGGTTGCCTCCTGCACGGGCTTGGCTGGGAAGGAACCTACAACCGAAATAAATGCCCTTGACTGGACTCGAACCCAGGACCCTTCCGTCTGCAGGCCAACACTCCATCCACTGAGCCAATCTGGCTAGGGCAAGAAAGAAAATTCTAGGTGTTCCAAGTGAAGACAGAAAGCCCTGGGGGTACACAGAACCATCAGGTGCAAAGCATAATAGAAAATGATTATTTTTCTAAACACTCTAAGTTGGACTTCTGACAAATGAAATGTTCTTGTAATGATTAAATCCTAGATGTCTAGAAGGTCAGGCAAGTTTTAAAATAAGTTGGATCAAATATCACAGGTAATCGGGGGAGAATCTGATGCACTGCAAATTACAGCACTGCATCCATCTGGGAGATCTGGAAAAAAAATCATTTGCGTTTTTCACATGTGCCTTACAGTAAAGCCTGTTGTGGATACAAAGACTTGCCATTTAGCCCTAGCCGGTTTGGCTCAGTGGATAGAGCATCGGCCTTCGGACTGAAGGGTCCCAGGTTCGATTCCGGTCAAGGGCGTGTACCTGGGTTGCGGGCACATCCCCAGTAGGGGGTGTGCAGGAGGCTGCTGATCGATGTTTCTCTCTCATCGATGTTTCCAACTCTCTATCCCTCTCCCTTCCTCTCTGTAAAAAAATAAAAAAATTCAATAAGATATATTTTAAAAAGGACTTGCCATTTACCTGTCAGTATTGGGCTCCCCCCCCGCCCCCCTGGATAGGACTGCGGGTAGCAGCCCCGAGCGCCGCGTAAACACAGCGGCTCACCACAGGTCTCCATTCCACCCCCTCCCCGCCTGGAATCGGAGCCCAGGAGTGACGACGGGAACGCAAATCGACCAGTTTTTCGCGGGACGGGGGCAAAGGTTCCCGGTCACCGCAGGAAACAAACAAAACCGGGGAACTGCACGTTTCCACCACGGCCGCCTTCCGGAGCCGCGGGCACTTGGATGCCGACCAGGGCTGGGCTTCGCCTGGGGCCGGGCAAGGATGCGGGAGGCGGAGCCTGGCCCGGCGCCGGACGGCGGGGACGGGGGACGGGGGACGGGGAAAGGGAGGGGAGGGGGGTGACCTGGGACCGGGACCGAACGGCGGGGCGCGGAGACCCGAGCCCAGCCCGCACGCACCCCCGGAGCCCGCCCGCCGCCCCATCGGGCCCCGCGCGCGCCTGTCAGAGTTGTTCTCGGGGGCACCGCGAGCTGGCACCCGACCCGCACGCCCGCCACGAGGGTCCCCGCGAGGCGTCCCCTTGCCCGCCGCGCGCCCCTCTGACACACACCCCTGGGGGGGCTGGGGCCGCTCCGCACCCCCTCCCCGCCTACCTCGCTGGGTGCGCCCGCCGAGGCCGACTGCGGGGTCCGGCGCCTGCGGGCAGGACGGGGACGGGGCGGGCCCCGCGGCGCGCGCCCGAGCAGCCAGGCCCGGCCCCGCGCGCGCCCCCGCCGCCGGCCGCGCCGACCCGCGACTCCTTTACGGCCGTCGCGAAAGTGTCGCGAACGCGCTGCCGCCCATCAGAGTCACCCAGTCGGCTGGAGTCGGAGTTATCAATACTCGGGGTGTGCCTGCTGGGCTCCGGGTAAGGCTGCGGGGCTCGGTCTTGGGGAGACGGTCTGGGAGGGGAGGATGTGTTGGGGGGCACGACTCTCAAAGGGTATGGAGAGGGGCGTGCGTGTGCGGGGTGGGGCGTGGGATCGGAGCTGTGTGTGGACTCGCGCGAGGCGGGCGCCGTCCTTCCTCGCGCGGGTGGCCTCGCGCGCGGGGTGGTGGGGAGGGCGCGGGGCCGCTGCCCCTCTGGCCCCGGGTGTAGAGGCGGCGATGGCGGGGTGCCCCGCGGGAGCCCGGGGACAGCTGGGGTTCGTGGGGGTGGGGTTCGGGGAGGGGAGAATTCGGGGACCGGAATTGGGCTGACCGGAGGCTGGGGGCGCTGCCCGCGCGGAGCCGACCTTGCCTGTTGGGTCGACACCGAACCGCGATGCGCCCTGAGCCGGGCGGGGCTGCCTTCCCTTTGGAACGTGATACCGGTGCTTCGTGGATGGGCCACGCTTCTGGGTCGGCAACTTCTGGAGGAGCGTCCGAGGGCAGTGACCGGCCCCGAGGTCGCCCGCCGGGGTTGTGGGGCGCTGGGCTCGGCAGGAGGGTTGCTGGTTCGCCTGGTTTCCCAGGGGCGCTGGGCGAATGGGATCTTTCCGTGTAGCCGCCTTCACTCTTCTCCCCATCGGGGCTTGGCGTATTGGCCCCTTTGCATCATTGGGATCGAATGTATCATTTTGCTTGAAGTCACAGTTCATGAGTGAATGCCTATTAAGATGGCAGGCAAAGTCTTAGTTACCTTTCAACCACGATTCGCGTCTCATCTCGGCTGTGAACAGAAACTGTTCCGTTTCTGCTCTAAAACGAGTAGGAATGTGTTGAGTGAGTGTATTGAATGGACTGACCACACCGGTCAGGCTGTGGTGAGGACATTTCCAGCATTTTATGCCGTTCACATAAAATTCCAGAGAGGGAGGTTCTAGCTAAAGCCTTTTGCTGCACTTGTGGTCTGTGCTGAGAAACATGAGCCAAAGCCCCCTGTGCCGCTGGTCTCTACGACCCTTCCAGGTAAGAAATAAGTTCGATAAATCTGCCTTTTGTATGAACCTGCTCCGACAGAGGCGTCTTTATGTGTTGTCCACTTAATAGATTATTACTGAATATTTACAACGATCGTTTTAGAAATGTATTCTCCTTCCTCGCCCACAACCAATCTCTCTTAAAGTTTACATTATAAACACCATTAAGTGTTTGATATGTAACTCTAAACTTTTTTACAGCCCCAATTACATTTTATTGCATTGGCCCTGTGTTTTCTAGGCAGCAGTGGACTCCTTCAAGCTGGCTAAAAGTGCTGGTGATGCTTTTTCTGAGGGTCATGCTGTGCTGTGGTTTTTAAGGGAATAGGAAAATCTATAAAATGCTGGGCTGTTGCTTCCCCTCCTGTCCCCCCTTCTCGGAGGAAGTTGTTTCCTGGTTTTAAAGAATGCAAGATTGCACTTCAGCAAAACAGTAGATCTAAATTGTATCACACAGTACTGTTTCTGCTTCCAAGTCCACTGAAAAGGCTTTTGTTTTTGCTAGCTTGTTTTGTGTATCACTTGTTAAATAATGCTGAATGATATCCACTGATCTTGTTGGCTCTCTCCCTCTCTCTCTCTTGCTTTTTTAATTTGCTCTGCCTCCCAAATTGTGTTGGCCATGAGAATTCTCCTTTAGGAGTGCCATAAAGGTTGGAAAGAGCTGTGTAGTCACCAGTATCTGTGAAAGGTTGTACTAGTAAACATATTGCTGAATCAGTGCAGCTCAAAACTTGGCACACTTAGGCATGGGAGCAGGGAATTCTGGACTCTCCCACTGCAGGTTGGGTATTGTGTAAGCTTACCTTATGCTCTGCTGAGCAATGGAGATTCCTTTTCTCGTGTGATGCGTGTCAGATGTTCCCCAGTGCTGAGCACAGGAATAAGGTAGGCTGCATGCCATTATCCTCAGTTGCTATAAGCACAGATGTTTTGCATCACAGATTCAAGGTCCACAAACGGTGTGTAATTTTAGTGAAGGTATTCATTACATATCTCAGATTATATTTTTGTACCTTTGTTGGGTTTTTTCCCATTGATTTTGAGAGAGTGGAAAGGAAGGAGGGAGAGAGAGAGCGATAGAGAGAAAACACTGATATGAGAGAAATACGTCAATTGGTTGCCTCACATGCACCCCAGCCCTGGGCAGAAAGGAACCTGCAACCCAGATACGTGTGCCCTTGACCAGAAATCGAACCCAGTGCATGGACTGGCGCTCTAACCACTGAGCACACCAGCCAGGGCCCTTTGTTGGACTTTTCACATAAAAATACTCATGCCTGCCCAAAGAAAACTTACTGTGAGACCATCTGGGCCCCGTCCTCTGGACTCCCACAGGAGTTTGTTCACAGCATGTTATAACTCAGCTGGTTGGGCATGGATGGCATATTTCAATCTTTCTGTTTCCTGAAGGTCTAGAACCGCTGAGTGATCATTAAATACTAGATGAATCACATTTGCTCATTGTTCCACAAATGAGAACTAATGGCCTACTTAACGTTAGGTATGCTATGAGATCTTGGAGGAAAAAAAAGTTAAGACAGATATGGCCCCTGCACTCCAAGGGCTTACAGCCCTGGTGGGGAAAGACCAAAACACCATCACCACCACCAGTGACAACAACCAAAAAAAGTTTAGAGTGTGATAAGTGCTGTGAACGGTTATAGCAGAGGAGGGGGCTGTGCTGATTAGAAGTGGAGAGGTTGCAATAGCTATAGATAGGCCTGTGATCAGTGTTATCCAGGGGGTGGGAATGTTTTACTTTAAAACGTTCACTTTTATTATTATGATTTATGAAAACATATCCTCAGTTAACAAGTAGACTGTTCTACAGAATGACAGGTTTCTTTATAAGCTCCTTGATGGCTTTCCATAACATCAGGATGAAAACTCCTTGCTGTGGACCATAATCCCCTGCACTGTCTGGCTTTTCAAACGTCATTGTATTCCCTTTTTTATTTTGGGGGGTGGGGGGTTTAATTGAGATATTATTAACATATAACATTTGATGAATGACGTATATTAAAATACGACACAATTATATGACATTATATTAACATGATGCTGGTTTCCGGTGTGCAACATGCTGATTTTATATATGTATATGTTGCAGAGTGATCACCACAGTAACTCTTCCATCTGGTTTACGACTGCCCAGGCATACTGGTCTCAAAGGTGCCTGGATGAGATAAGGCTTTTCTTGCCTCAGGGCCGGTTCCCTCTTTGTGGATGGTTTCTGCTGCTCTTGGATTTGGGGTCCATGCTGCCTCTTCCCAGACTTCAGCCGCCTTATTCACACTGCGCACCCTCACCTGTTTTCTGGCTCCACACTTTGTTTTTTGTCATAGCACCGATCACAATGTGTCATCTTAGTGGCTTGTTTACCTGTCTTTAGTTATTTTCCCATTGGATGTGGGACCTGGGACTGTGTCTGTCTTGTTTACTGCACTGAGAGATTGGCCGGATGCATTTGGAACTTGGGGTCCATTTTCTCATAAAAACTTAGGACTGGTAGCTAGGTTTCTCTAGCCAGCAATAATTTTAATTTCTTTCTTAGTCATATTTTTCTTTTTTAGTTCCTTGTAGTGTGGCAAGAAAATGATATTTTCTCTCATCCTTTGGCCATAGACCTGGCTTAGATAAAAATCCTACGTGGCTGAAATAATTGTTGGTGGTATTCGTTCCTCTTTTCCATATCTCCACCCCACGTCCTTATCTCCTTTCTCTCCCTATAGTCTGATCTTCCTACTGTAGTCACCTACCCTGTCCTGCCCTCTTGAAATATGCATGCTTTTCATTTGCTAAAATTCAGAAGCTCCTATTTTTTCCTGAGATGATTTTCCTGTCAATAGCCTCTGCATTTCAGGTGTGATGGAGGGAGGTGGGACTGTGGCAGTGAGCGCAGCCTCTGTGGTTGTGTGTTGGTGTTGAAAGCATAGCATGTCAGGGGCTACATGTATCTGAATGTGTGTTTGCAATCTTGTTGCTAACAGCTTCACAGAGACAATCTTGCCAAATTGAAATGTTCAAAAACTTTTTGCCTTTTTCCACCCCCCTGGGTGAATTAGACAGTGGCTAGAACTAGAAACGTTTGTCAAAATGTAGATTTTTCCAAGAGAGCAATAGAGGGTTAAAAAAAAAAAATCTAGGTCAGCAAGGGAAAACACCCAGAAGGAAAAGTATCAGTTTATCATACAGTCCTGCCAAACGCTCAAACTTAAAACCATTAGGATCGGTTGCGTGTAGCTGTTAGTGCCAAAAGTGGGCCAGCACCCTCAATGTTACCTTTTAAAAAGGGGGGAGGGTGAGGGAGGGAATACTATAATAATAAAATACAAGTTAAGTTGGCTAAACTTTCTGTTTCAGCTTTAAGTGGAATCCCATGAGAGCATACCAGATATAAAAACGCATACTAAGTTTGACTATAGAAAAGCTGGCTTACTATATAAAGCTAAGTATTTCGGTGGTTATCAGTCTGTCACTTGATCTAAAACGATCTTGTCACCAGTTGTTTGACATTATATAAGTATTGCTTACAGTTGTAACCAATTGGTTTGTGACACAGGTCGACTTAAGAAATGTCCAAACCTGTTGAGAACTTTTATGAATTGAAACTGACAATTGCCAGGAAGCGAAATCTCAACAGATTGAGAAAATGCTCCAGAGAATGGTAGTTTTGCTGCTTATTTTATACATGAGAATCAAAGGGGGGGGGAGGGGGGGATACATGAAATTCATCGGTAGTAGATTTGGGAGGTGGGAGAAAGCAAAGCTGGGGAGTCTCTGAGAGTGGATGAAGAGTAAACCGTAGCGACACGTACAGTATTTTACTTTGGTGAGTATAGGAGAGTTAACAATTACTATTTATTGTACATAGAGATGGTTTGGGGGAATAAGATAACAGTGAGGGGTTCTGTGGTCTGTGCTCTGTTGCAGTGGGAGTGCCCTGAGGGGTCTGGAAAAGGAGACCTTCCAAGGATATGTTATTTTAGATGCAAAAAGACAGTAGACAAGCTCACTTAAAGTTAAGGTTGACTTCTGTCAAGGAAGCTACAGGCCTAGGCTGTGACTACCCACACATGACCTGCGGTTAGTTATGCTCAGACCATCCTGTGTGGTTGCTTTTGGTGTCTGAGTCTGCAGGGCCCACCATGCAGGCCTCCCCTGAGCTTGTCGGGTTTAACATGTGGCCCCTTTTCCGCGCAGACAGTTATCAAGCTCCATGACTGATGGTGATTTTGGATGTCACTTTAGAGCAGCCGTGGGCAAACTACGGCCCGCAGGCCGGATCCGGCCCCGTTTGAAATGAATAAAACAACAACAACAAAAAGGACCGTACCCTTTTATGTAATGATGTTTACTTTGAATTTATATTAGTTCACACAAACACTCCATCCATGCTTTTGTCCCGGCCCTCCGGTCCAGTTTAAGAACCATTGTGGCCCTCGAGTCAAAAAATTTGCCCACCCCTGCTTTAGATCTTTTGTGACATTGAAATTTTGGAATTTGTTACTTATGGTAGTAGAGGCAAGAAGTCCTGGACATGTTTTGATACTAGATCCATTGTTGAGATGTCCTAGACCCTGGATCACATTCTGTATCCCGTGGTGCGTCATTTCTGAGAATGTCACAGAGCGTTCTGGGTATCTCTCTACCAGAAGATCAGTGTGCACCCTTTGGTACAATGCCACTACTTAAGATTATTCCTTTTGTTTTGTTTTGTTTTTTTCAAGTCTCTTACGGCTTCTTTTTCTCCCTAAATGTGAGTTTCCCACAAGGTTCTTTGTTTCATTTTCTCTCCATACCTAATCCCTTCGAGAACTTTCCTACTTTTTAGCCTTAAACTAGACTTTAGCTTCTAAAGTGATAATGATATTTTCATCTCATACCCAAACTCCCAGTCATTTGATTTTGTCTGAAACACCTGTACCTAAAAGGTGCACATCTGTATTTCCTACCCTCAGCCCCAGGTCCTCTCTCACCCCCCACCCGCCACCAAAAGCCACATAACCAGCTGATTCTTCTTCCCAACCCCTGTTCACAGTAGGACCAGGCGTCTCTACTGACTACTTCTTTCCTCTGCGCCTTCTAGTCCCCAAGTACTTTCTCTTGACTCTTCCTTTTAAATAGAAGTTACTTAAAGATTTGACTGTCTTTCATGTTTCCATTTTTACCAACCTACTCTAGGCACTCACCACTTCAAACCTTTGAAGTCTCCATACTAATTGTTGTTTGTGTATTTATTTTTTAAATTCTCAACCAAGGACATGCTTTTATTGATTTTAAAGAAAGAGGAAGGGAGAGGGAGGGAGGGAGGGAGGGAGAGAGAGAGAGAGAGAGAGAGAGAGAGAGAGAGAGAGAGAGAGAGAGAGAGAGAAACATCAATGTGAGAGTGAAACATTGATCGGTTGCCTCCCGAGCATGTCCTGACCAGGGATTGAACCCACAGCCTAGGTATGTGCCCTAATCAGGAATCCAACCTGTGACCTTTCATTGTATGGGCAAAACTCCAATCAACAGAGCCATACTAATTTTTAAATGTTCTCACTATCTCTATTCTGATTAATATATATCTATCCTATTAATCTTGAAAATACACGTCATTATTTTCTTACACTGCTTAATAACAATAATTATGTTATCTCTAATGTGTTTTGAGTCACGTACTTCAGGGATTAAACTCAAAGTCCTTTGTGAACAGTCATCACCAATTCAGGTGGCCTTTTTCCTTATCACCTCAGTTCATCGGTCACACTGCTGATACCATCTGCCCTCTGAAAGTCACCTTTTCATTGCTGTTGACCCCCACCTGGCATACTGTCTGTAGGGAATCCTTTTCTACTGGCGAGAAGTTTTATCTTTTATTTTAGCTTAAACAGGAAGCCTGTGTTTGTCTGGACCTCACAAGGAAATGAGCCCCTCTTTGCCTTAGTTTCACTTTCTGTAAAAATAGGTATAATTAACAGTCCTTACCTTCTGGGCTTGTTGTGAGGATTAAATGAGTTAATATGGGAAACATGAAAACATGCTTAAAGTTTTTCGTACATAGTAAGTGCTCAATAAATGTTAACTGGCAGCATTAAATAAAAAAATCTAGTTTCAGACCTACGATGTAAATACTCATTTGCTAGCTCTTGGGGTGCCTTTGGACCTCCGTTTTCGTGTATTGGAAATGATTCGATCACTTATAGGATTTGTTCCATTGTAGTACTGAAGGCAGTGAGGTGAAAAAGACCATGAGCTTTGAAGTCACACTGTAAGGGAACAGGAAGCACCATTAATAAGAACTAAGACGAAAAGCAAACCCCTGGTTTTCTGGTCCCGGTTTTCTGTTACCAGTTTGACTTCTTATTTTTTTAATTTACTGACATTGCTGTAAATAATGGCTGACAAAACTTTTGTCCCCTCGCCCCCCCAGGTAAAGACCAGCCACCAAAAGCTGTGAAGCAAGATAAATTATTCTCTCCAAATAAAAGAAAGCCAGAGTCCATGAGCGGCCAGCGGTCGTCCAGGAAACGATGTGGGGACGCGCGCGCGGAGTCCCCCGTGGGCTTCGGGCACACGAGCGCCCCAGGGTGTGTGTTAAACAAGTTGTTTCAGCTGCCCACGCCGCCGCTGTCCAGGCACCAGCTCAAGCGGCTGGAAGAGCACAGATACCAGAGTGCCGGCCGGTCCCTGCTGGAGCCCCTGATGCAGGGGTACTGGGAGTGGCTCGTGGGAAGGGTCCCCTCCTGGATCGCCCCGAACCTCATCACCATCGTCGGGCTGTCCATAAACATCTGCACGACGGTCTTATTAGTCTTTTACTGCCCTACAGCCACAGAGCAGGTAAGGAATGTCTTCATGACAATGACGCACATTTGTTACACACCAGCAACACCGTCATTGGGGTTTCTAGGTCAGTCTAGCTAAAGATCAGATACTCTGACAACTCCTCGCCAACTCTTTTCAAATATCCTGCTACATCAGATAATTTTAATAAGACTTGCTACTGCAGCCTACCTCATACACTATGGGTACGAGAAACCGTAAGTAGAGGGTGGACTCTGATTCTGGTAGGTAAATTAATGTTAGTGGGGACTAATACGTCAAACGCCCCTTTTAGAATCAGTAAATCTCAATTCTTTACAAAAGAGTTTTCTTTCTTTTTTGGGGGGTGGGAAGGGGGGATGGCTGAATACAGTCTTAGCAGAGTTAAAAATAATCAGAGAGAGCAGTCTGCGGTAGCGAAATGCACCCTGCACATCAGTCAGTCATATCCAGACTGTTGCCCTCTTCCTTCCAGGGCGATGGTTGAATATCGCTCTTCTCTCCCGTAAACACATGTGGCTGGTAGACCTCCGATATCTCGGTGATTCTAAAAGACGAGAGAAGTGTAAGAAAAAGTCAATGTCATGATTCCCCTGCTCTGTGTCCCGCCGTGGCTGCCGTTCAGAATGGAAGCATGGGATTGCTGGGGGACGCCCTTCCGGGGCCACCTAGACGCAGCGTCTGCTGCTGCTTCCTCTGTTTCCCTCTGAGCTCATTACTTAAAACCAAAACTGAAACCAGGACCCTTCATCAGAATGGGTACATTGTGTACTTCTTTGGTTTTAAAATGTCCTTGTCAGAAAGTGAGCTGCGGTAGTTAGGCAGAGGAAAGAACCAAACGTGTGTTGTGCCCGTATTAATCAGAATGGTTGGTCACACGGAACCCAAGAAAATAGAAAGTGGTTCTCAACTAAAGGTGTTAAAAGTGACCCTGAACCATGCGTCATAATGGGCACACATTTCTTGTATGTTTTAAGCTTGAAATAACAATTTTCTAAGTAGTCGTGTCATATGATTTGTTCTTACAGGTGAAATTTGTCATCATCTATCCTTTTCTGTTTTCATCAATTCATAGTTGAATTTTTTTTCCCAGAGCTCATTTCCCCCTCATCCTTGAATAAATAGTTTCATTCCTCTTTGACTACACAAATCCAGTCCATACAGATTGAATGGACATATTCTGGTTTTTCCTCATTTTCTTATCTATCGTACTTTACATCAGTCTGGAAACTTATAAAACAAAAGCCAGTCTAACTTTACATATGATGGGGGGCGGTTCCCAGGGCAGGCACTAAAGGCTTACGTAGAACAGGACAGGGTGGAGAGGGTTACTCAGGTGTGACCCACTCGGTAGGGGCAGGGCAACGTCCAATTCCAGGAACCAGCTGACAGTAGGAGGGGATTTCCCGGAAGCCACCTCTGTTCTGGCCCGGGGACATCTGAACCTGGCCAGCAGGCCCTGCAATGGTCAGGCCGGGACCTGTCATGAACTAGTCTCCTCCTCCACAAGTATGTCCTTGGATTCTTTCTTTTTTTAAAAAAAAAAAAAAATTTTTATTGATTTCAGAGAGGAAGGGAGAGGGAGAGAGAGATAGAAACATCCATGATGAGAGAGAATCATGGATCGGCTGCCTCCTGCAAGCCCCACACTGGGGATGGAGCCCAAAACCTGGGCATGTACCCTGACCTGGAATCGCACCATGACCTCCTGGTTCATAGGTTGACACTCAGCCACTGAGCCACACCAGACAGGCTGTCCTTGGATTCCTTATTACCTGTGCTTTGAGCTGTTTTACAAGTAGCTTACTTGAGGTCCTGACAGCTACTTCCAGAGGAATTTGGTCCAGATTGCCCACATCTTTAGAGATACAGAAAAACAACAGGGAGGTGGGTCAGTTCCAATAAAGCCTTCCAGTTGTACTGAGTTTGTATGTTTTTTGTTTTTGTTTTATATTTCAGAGAGGAAGGTTAGAGGGAGAGAGATTGAAACATCAATGATGAGAGAAAATCATTGATCAGCTGCTTCTTGCACGCCCCTACTGGAGATGGAACCCACAACCCGGGCATGTGCCCTTGACCGGAATTGAACCTGGGACTCTTCAGTTGCAGGCTGACACTCTATCCACTGAGCCAAATGAGCTAGGGCTAGGATGGACTTGTTTAAGCCAGTGTTTCCCACATGAGTTTAGCATGAAAGGTGTGTTTTTTTCCATGTAATACCTGTAAACATCTTGAAAGATACAATTTGGGAAAGACGGTACTACATTATTCATTCATTGACTCTTAGAATCTAAAGGTTAGAAAGAATCTTGTAGAAATTCCTGAGTCTCATGGATCATGGGATTTCTGTCATGTCCCTGGGAAGTGTAATCCAGTTTCTGCTTGAGCACCGGTACTAATTAAGGAATTTAATTCTTTTACAGTTCAGATGGTTTCAGAATGTTTTTCATTATGTAGTACCTGGATCTTCTCTCCCAGAGCTTCCAACCAGTAGTGCTTCTCTGGAAAATGAAGATAAAGCATATTAGCCAACCACAGTAATGAGTGTGTCTTAACAGTCTTGCTTTTCTTGTGTTCTTGCGCAGGCACCTCTGTGGGCATATATTGCCTGTGCGTGTGGCCTTTTCATCTACCAGTCTTTGGATGCCATAGACGGGAAACAGGCGAGAAGAACCAATAGCAGTACTCCTTTGGGAGAACTTTTTGATCATGGTTGTGATTCACTATCAACAGGTACTATTGATTTTTTTTTTTTTTAAACATATTTTTTTTTATTGATTTTTTACAGAGAGGAAGGGAGAGAGATAGAGAGTTAGAAACATCGATGAGAGAGAAACATCGATCAGCTGCCTCCTGCACATCTCCTACTGGGGATGTGCCCGCAACCCAGGTACATACCCTTGACCGGAATCGAACCTGGGACCCTTCAGTCCGCAGGCCGACGCTCTATCCACTGAGCCAAACCGGTTTCGGCTACTATTGATTTTTTTAAATATTAATGATTAATAGTGACAAAGGGGATGTGACGAACAATGTTAGAATAACTAGGAGGTTTATGGTGGGATAATGGTTATCAGAATGGTGATTTTATATAAGTTTTAGTATTTCCAAAAAGCTGTAAAACTGGTTAATGTTTATTCATTATTAGCTGTATTGGGAAATTTAGAATTTATATTAATTTCCACTAAAGTTCTTTTTAACCGGAAGTATTATTGTTTTGGCACCAGTTATTTTTAAAAATCTTAGGGCATTGTTGTCATCATCAAAGAAATCTCATAAATTATAGATGTGAGTACAATAGTGGGAGACTAGGAAATTCCTAGTCTTTAGATGGATATTTTGTAGACATTTAAAATTATATCGTAGATTTGGGGTACAACCATGAGAAAAGGACTAGAAAAACACACTAATGTGCTAGCGATAGATGAGTTACTGTAGTTAGATTATAGGTGATATGTCTCTATTTGTACTGTGTGTAAAGCAATATCTCAGTACCTTTTTAGAGGGCAAAACGAGAGATTTAGGAACTAAATGACAGTTTCTAGCTAGTCTTCACCACCACCCACACACTTACTTTTAATTAGTTCTTTAGTTGGTTTCTTGTCATTTGGCATAGCAATGAAAATATTTTAAAAGAAAAACAAAACCCTCAATAGTTTTCCCTCGTGGACTCAGATTTGCAGACGTGGGTGCACGTTAAAGTTGCTGTTTCTGTGCATCCTGACAGCAGGATGACAGGTATCCTGGTTTATTTTAAGTGATAGTCATTTTTGCTCTGTAGTTTGAGTTCGAAACTTTTATAGGGAAGTCCGTAACGATATCTGCTAAGTAAGAAAAGACGGCTATCCATCTGAAACAAGTAGGTCCCTTTGTGAATTATTTTTTTCTTTTATTTTTTAAAAAAATATTTTTATTGATTTTAGAGAGAAAGGGAAAGGGAGAGAGAGAGAGAAACATCAATGACGAGAGAGAATCATTAATCGGCTTGCCTCCTGCACACCCTACACTGGGGATTGAGCCTGCAACCCAGGCATGTGCCCTGACCGCACTGACGAGGAATCGAACTGTGACCTCCTGGTTCATAGGTCGACGCTTAACAACTGAGTCACACCGACCAGGCTAGTTTTTCTTTCTTTTTGACTCTGCCTTGTCATTTTTTTTTACTGCTCATTAGTACACTATCACTAAGTTGGGAGAATACTCCAAAAAAAAAAAAAAATGCTAAAGTATTTTAGTTGCTTTCAAAAACTTAGGTTTCGCTAAGTGTGTAGAGCAGGGGTCACCAACCGGTGGTCCGTGGACCTCTGGTGGTCCGTGGGGTCCAAAAGGTTGGGGACCGCTGGTGTAGAGAAAGAAAAGATTGAAACTACAGGCAGCCCTACCTGGTTTGGCCCCGTGGATAGAGCGCTGGCCTGCGGACAGAAGGGTCCCGGGTTTGATTCCAGTCAAGGGCACATGCCCGGGTTGTTGGCTCCATCCCAGTGGGGGGCGTGCAGGAGGCAGCCAATCAATGGTTCTCTCTCATCATTGATGTTTCTATATCTCTCTCCCTTTCCCTTCCTCTCTGAAATCAATAAAAACATATTATTTAAAAAAAAAGAAGAAATTACAGGATAAACTATAATGTAAAAGATTATATCCTTTCTTGTTTATCATTGATAACTGAGATTGTACATTTACAGCGTCTTTCTTTTGCCTCTAAAATCATTTCAGCTGAGTGTGGGGCCTTCTTGTGTCTGTTTTTGTTTTTTTTAATCCTCACTCAAGGATATTTTTCCATTGATTTTTAGAGAGAGTGGAAGAGAGAGGGAAAGACAGAGAAATATTGGTGAGAGAAACCCATCGATTGGTTGCCTCTTGCACTCGTCCCAACCAGGGCCCAGGCCGGGGAGGAGCCTGCAACTGAGGTTTGTGCCCTTTCAGTCCACAGGCCAATGCTCTATCCACTGAGCCAAACCGGTCAGCTCCGTGTTTTTTTGTTCAGATTGTTCAGGTGTTGATTGTGATCTTTCTTTTGCAGTGTTTGTGGTTCTTGGAACTTGTATTGCGGTGCAACTGGGGACAAATCCCGATTGGATGTTCTTTTGTTGTTTTGCTGGGACGTTCATGTTCTATTGTGCGCACTGGCAAACATATGTTTCTGGAACATTGCGATTTGGAATGTGAGTAGCACTTAATGGTTATTTTGTTTTATCTTTCAAGCAACAAGAATGTTGCTTATAGGTATGTGAATATTAGGTATTGGTCAAATTACAAAATTAGTTTAGTAAATGAAAGAAGTTGAGAACCCTCATAATTCTAGCTATTACCCAAGGGTCTCCATTATGTGTCCTTCTATCACAGTTTTTTTGGTTTTTGATTTTTTTTAAAATTGATTTCAGAGTGGAAGGAAGAAGTAGAGAGAGATAGAAACATCAATGATGTGAGAGAATCATTGATCGGCTGCCTCCTGCACGCCCCCTGCTGGGGACCGAGCCTGCAATCCAGGCATGTGCCTTGACCTGAATTGAACTGGGACCTCCTGGTTCATAGGTTAACGCTCAACCACTGAACCACACCAGCCGGGCCTGTGTTTTATTTTGATCTATGAAAATTCATTTTCAGGAAAGAAAAAGATACTTAAAAAGAGCAAAGAGCAACTCTAATTTCTAAATATCGTAGCTTAATAAGGTTTTATTCTTTTCACATTGTTTTATTTATGAGTCTATAAAAATATAAACTCTTGGTAATTTGATTGACGTGAGCACACCATATAGGTTATTACTGCCAACAAAATGCCTAAGAATTTAAAAAATAAAATACAAAAACTCCTTCAAACCGCAAAGTGAATAGTTCAGCGTCGTGATCCATAAATATTAATGAGTAAACCAGTCTTGGAATGAGGGTAAGGGTGGAATTGACCAACTAGTGTTTAATCAAGTATCACAGATCCTATTTATACTGCTCAAGTTAATCTTTTATTTTTTCATGGTATAAGATTAAAAGAGAAAGAACTTGAAAAAAGACTCAGAATACATCATGAAATGTCAAAATAAAGATCTGATGGTAAATGATAGAACATCTTAACCTAGTCTCTAATTAAGATGAATCATTAATGGAGTTTTGAATATTAGATCCATAATGAATTTAGTTGTTGAGGTTTTGAAAAATACAGAGTTCATAGAAAGTCAGGTGTTCCCTAAAAGTTTAGTTGAGATGACTTTTGCTAAACTTATTTAAATATAATTTAAGATGTTCTTATGACAGTAACTAAATAATTATTAATATTTTGGATATTAGCTAAGAGACATGTCTCAATAAAGGGGTTTAGAAAACATGTTTAAGACCCATTTTAAAATGTTATTTTTATTATAAGAGACAATAGTGGATGTGAGTGTCCAATTGAAGACTGTATGCATTCATCAGCAGTTTAAAAATGATCAGTGCTAAAAAAAAAAATGATCAGTGCTCAGAAAATATTTAAAATTTCTGATACTATTTTTACAAAGCACTGTTTGAAAATATTATGTACCAATGTTTTTTCCCCTCAGACTTCTACGATCACTTGGTTTGCTAATTAAGTGATGGTACTTTTTACTATCTGGATTTCACACAGTTTGTGTTCCATTGGTATGCTCTCAGAGTTAACTTTCAGGCCCTTATTTTGAAAAGGTGTCTGTCACCTAGCCCTAATGTATTCTCTTCCCCTTTAAGTAAAGCAGCATCACCCACATGGCGTGAGCCCCGGGGAAGGGAAGCGGAAGCCCTGGGAGCAGGGAGGAGGAAATGGATGGTGTTTGTGGGCATGACTTGCTCTGACAGCTTTCTGTTCGCCGGTCTTAGCGCTGTCCTGGTGGCGTATTCCTTTGACGAAATACCTACTTGGAGAACTGCGGGCAGCGCCACATCATTAGCGCATCAGATGCCTGTAGGGGAGTGGCAGGAGCTAGGGCTGGAGAAGACCCAGAAAATCCAGGGCCTTTGTCCTGCCCAGAAATGTGAGCTTTGATCCTGGATCTGTGGGGAACCTTTGCAGGGCCTAACGCAGGGCCAGTCTGACAGCATTCTGATGAGTGGATTGGAGTGGCCCTGACAGAAGGAAGGAGACCCCTTAGGAGGCATCAGCACAGTGAATGTGAGGAATGAACTCGCACAGAGACTGCTGTGGAAGGCGGGGGGCGGGGGGGTGGTTGGAGATTTAGAGGTAGAAACTGTAGGACTTCTCTGTCTGGATTTGGAGAGTGAGAGGGCGCGGAGACTGGCATGGCTCCCAGATCACCTTCTCAGGTGGGTGGATGGAAGGTAGAGAAGGCACTACAGGAGAAGGAGCCTTTTGAGAGAGAGAGAGGAAGGGAGGTAGAGAGAGAGAAACACTGATTTGTTGTTCACTCAATTAGGCATTCATTGATGGATTCGTGTATGTGCCCTGACCGGGGATTGAACCCCAAACCTTGGCATGGGGACACTCCAACCAACTGAGCTACCCGGCCAGGCCGGAGGAGCCTATTTGAAGGGAGAGTTCCATCTAGAAGATGTATATGGGGGATTTTAGACGTCGGATAGGATAAGAATAGCAGAAAACATAGAAAGCAAGCCTAGAAAGAAGCCCATGAAATTGAACAGCAGAGTAGGAGGAGGCATACCGGAATGGATTTTGAAAGAGAACAATGCTAAATGCTGCCAAGACTCAAAATGAGGACAGAAAAGTGTACATTGATTTGGCAGTGTGAGGCCAGCAGAGTGGTTTCTCTGTAGTGGGGGCAGAAGCCAGATTGTAGGGGTGACACGTGGAAGGAATACGTAAGCGCACGGCTACCGCAGGCCACGTACAGAATGGGTGGCTGTGGTGGGAAGCAGCAAGAGAGAACGTGGCTCAAAGGAGGGAGGGTTTTATATTTTGTAAAAGTTGATTCCCACTAATTTTTAATGGGAAAGGTCCCAGCATACACAGGAAGTCGACTAGAGAGGAGAGTAGGGTAAAGACAGGAGCGACTGGCACTGCCTTACAACGGTGTGAAAATTACAGTGAGATATTGAGGCCAGTTTGCGTTTAACATCTCCCTTCAAATTAAATAGTATTATAAGGGATTGGTTTTGATTTGGGAAAATTGTATACTATTTTCTGAAATCCTGCATTCACATTAAGGCAACGTTGAATTGATATTTTTAAATTAAAAGTAAGTTACCGCCTTCATAGAAATATGCTGCCAGTGCTTTACATTTAAGAAGATATTTATCCAAATGCTAGGGCATATGGAGTAATAACGGTATTTTTAAAGAAGTTCTAAAAACGCCATGCTGGCGTTCCCATGTTCTGCGAGAGCAGGTAGCAGAGGAACATGTCTAGGGAAGCCAAGTCTGTGTCGTGGAGGAGAAAGCCCAGAGTTTGTTTTGTTTAATTAGGAAGGAAGGGCAAGGGCAACCCTCAAATGTAGTTTGAATAAAGAAATTTTTTAAAATCCCTTCTTCTTATTCAGAGGAAAGTGGAAGCAGCCTTAGGCCCCTTAGGAATTTTATTTTTAAATACTTACTTTAATTATTTTATTTTGATGTTTACACACATACGTGAAAAAAATCACGAGGATTTCTTTTTATATACCATAAATTCAGGTTGCTATACCTTTAATAACCTTATAAAACAAAATGTTTGCCAAATTAGAAATTTGTATTTGTTTTCCTTAGTCTCCTAATGTCACTATTTTTAGTTCCTGTTAAATGTTCTCTTAGTACCTTGAATAAAGAGGCCCAATAATTTAATTCATCTATTACTAACTAATTTCCACTCAGCGTCAGGTATTGTGAGTGGCCAGTGTGAGCTGTACCTGCCGGCACTTTACCATGGTCACAGGTAAAAGCCGCCGTGTGCAGGGAGCAGTACCCACCACATCCCTACCCAGGGCCCTGTCCTGGCGGTGCTTCTGGTCTGAGCAAGTAGAGCTGGTGGATGAGTACTGCTCATCGGACCCTCCCAGGCCGGCTGAGCCCGTCAGGATCGTTATTATAAGTCTGGATAGGAAAGGCTGGGGAGGGAATAGGTTTAGAGGCTAGAACTTCGTAGAAGGATTGAGTCCGTGGGAGAAGATAAGAATTATGAGTTGAAGCTCATTTGTAAACACTTGTAAAATATTCTTTAAATTGTTTGTCAATTATATTAAACGCAAGAGTTCACATTTCCTCTCTTAAGGTCTAAACCCTCCGTATCCAGGTATTTTTAATGTATAACATGTAGATGTCTGTGTAGAATCATTTTAATAAATTAAATGCTTAGAAACCCTAAACAATCCTTAATGAACTATATTTATGCAAACCGTGGGCCTTAAAAAATCTTTAAGATAGAACTCTTTCTTAAATTATCATTTCAGAAAAAACAACCTTCGTTTTTTTAAAAAAAATCTATTTTTATTGATTTCAGAGAGGAAGGAAGAGGGAGAAAGAGATAGAAACATCAATGATGAGAGAGAATCATTGATCGGCCGCAACCCGGGCATGTGCCCTTGACTAGAATTGAACCTGGGACCCTTCAATCCACAGGCCGAGGCGCTATCCACTGAGCCAAACTGGCTAGGGAAAAAAAAACCCACAACTCTGAAGTTACCTTTTTAGGAGGAAAAAAAAAGAAAGTAATTATAGTAAATTGAACTCAGGCCAGTGTGTCTTGTCTCAAGTGTCCTCTCTAAATGGCCTCCTCTGTACATCAGCTTGGGCAAGGCCCTAACCTTCATGGTCCTCATTCTCTAATGTATAAAGTAAGAGTTTGGGATTAGGTGACATCTAAGGTTCTTTCTGTGAGTCCATTAAATTTACAAAGATTACTTCCAGAGTTCTTATTACTTATAATTATGGCAGGTAGAGTATTTTTCTTCACTTTATTGCATTTTTTTCTATAATTAAATGAAAAACATTAATAGGCTATGTATTCTACTGGTAGTCTGACAAATCCAGTTCACCTTCTTACCCAGGTAACCTCTAAACAGAGCTAGGGAACCGTTTTTCTGCCAAGGGCCATTTGGATATTTATAACATCATTTGCTCAATATTATTCATTTAGTATAAATTTATGTTGCTATGAAAAAAACTCCTAGATTTATTGAATTTCAGGTCCCGCCTGCAGTTCCCTTGGCAGGGCCAGACCCAATGATTTTGCGGGCCTTATATGGCCTGGCCGTTCCCCACCCCTGCTCTA